TGGGTCATTTCCCTATCTCTTTTGGTTTTACTTACATTTTACTTGCGGTTGATTATGTGTCAAAGTGGGTGGAAGCTAAAGCCACCCGAACTAACGATTCTAGAGTTGTTGCAGATTTTGTCAAATCTAACATTTTCTCTAGATTTGGGATGCCTAGAGTGCTCATAAGCGATGGTGGGTCTCATTTTTGCAACCGCACCATTGAGGCGTTGTTCAAGAAGTACAACGTGATGCATAAGGTTTCCACACCTTATCACCCCCAAACCAGTGGCCAAGCCGACGTTTCAAATCGAGAAATAAAGCAAATCTTGGAAAAGACCGTTGGGCCAAATAGAAAAGATTGGAGCTTGCGTTTGGAGGATGCATTGTGGGCGTATTGAACGGCTTACAAAACGCCCATTGGTATGTCCCCATTTCGGCTAGTCTATGGCAAGTCATGCCATCTACCCGTGGAGCTTGAACACAAGGCACATTAGGCGGTCAAGACCTTCAATATGGATGTGGACACGGCTGGAAACCATAGGAAGCTACAATTGAACGAGCTTGAAGAGATTAGGCATGAGGCTTATGAGAATGCCCCGATTTACAAAGAGAAGACCAAGGCATTCCATGACAAGATGATTAGAGGCAAAACCTTCTCAATGGGGCAGAAAGTGTTGTTATTTAATTCCCGTCTTCGGTTATTCCCCGGTAAGTTACGTTCTAAGTGGGTTGGTCCATTTGTTATCACTAATGTTTTTGTGCATGGTGCAGTCCAAATACAAAGTTTGAAAACTGGACAAGAATTCAAGGTGAATGGCCATAGGTTGAAACCCTACTATGAGAACTTTGTTGAGCATGTTGTGGAGGAGATCCCATTGCATGCCGTGGACTCCAATGGGGAATGAGCATACCATCGTCCGGCTGCAAGACGTTAAAGCAAGCGCTTAGTGGGAGGCAACCCATGCAATCACCAAGGAGAGGATGGCATTTACACTCCATAACCAGATTTGCGTCCCTAGCCTCTTCTCTTTGTTATTTACATTCTGCCATGCTTAGTGTGTTTAGTTGCTGTTTGTGTGTTTACTTTTGTTTGGTGTGATTTTAGGTTTGAGACATTGAGGACAATGTTTGATTTAAGTGTTGGGGGGGGAGGGTAACTAAGTGTTGTTGATGCAAATTCGTGGGATTTTATCACCCATAACTTCCAATGTTGTTCCTTGCTGTTTTTAAGTGTTTTAAGCTATTTTAGAGTGTTTTAGTGTGTGTTGACTTAAAAATCCGAAAATCCCATAAAAATTTGAAAAAATTGTTTTGACAAAACCCAAAAAGAATTGCTTTTGTGTGTTTGTTTGTGTCGTAGGTTACCTTCCAACACAATGATGAGGATTTGGTTTTTAATTGCATGATGGTTAAAGAAAGTTACAAACATGGATGGACGTTTGATATACTCTTTGGTTTATGCTTGGTTGTAGTTATAGTTTACGAATTCACATGTAATCACAAAGGAAAATTAGTTTTTGTAACATGCTTGAAGGAATGAACTCGAACTAACGCTACATCCCTGTGAGACTTGAGCCTAAACGTTTATTTGGAGAGTAATAATCTGTGCATCATTGTTTTCTAAAGTCGTTGCATGATCTCATTATTCTTTGCTTGGTTACTACTTAGAAGGCATTTCATCACTTAGTTCCAAATGCTAGAACTCATGCCCATTTCATTCAAAGCATGTTATTGATTTGCATAACACATATTCAAGATGAAGTTGTGTAGTGACCACCATCAAAGCCAAATAGCCGTGTGCCCTTAATTCATTATGTGTTTAAGTTTAACCCCATTGAGCCATGTTAGCCCATGTTCTTTGTTAACCCATATTATCCTCACCTAGCCTAGATTAGGACCATCCATACCCTTGTTCTTGAAGCATAGTAAGCATGACTAAAAATGAATTCCTTTTGATTAATGTGTTGCAGAAAATAAGTGTGGGGGAAGGATTATTGATGTGAGTTTATGTGCCATAGGCATAGCTAGAAAAAAAAAAGTTGAAAAAAAAAAATGAAAAAGAGTTGAAAAGAGGTGAAAAGAGTTCCAAAGTATTGTTTGTTGATGTAAGGGTCCAAAACAATGAATTAGGCCCTAAGAGTTGTTTGAATCTTCCCTGTATGTCTAAAAGTTGATTTTTGCATTCTAAGTGAATTCTAAGTCTTAATTTCATTACTTTGCTTGCTATTGCTTAAAGAACTTTTGTTTATCCCTATCTTTCCTTGTTAGCCAATACCCCAAGCCCCGTTACAACCCTTGACTTCTATCTTGAGTGTTGTGTATTTCAATTTGTGGAGTTTGAATTTGGTATGAGCATATGGTGTCACTGGTTCTCGCATCTAAGTAGTAGCATTCCATTCATGAGATCATATCTAAACATGTTTAATTACTCCAGAAATTGCTTTCTTTGTTATAACATATGTGAGTACTAGTCTTTCATGTTTACATCAATCTTCTCACATATAACTATTGTAGGGTGTGTAGTCAGAAAATCTGAGTGAAAATTGAGTGCATAACTAGTGAGGAATTGAGGGAATTCTCTAAGGCATGTTACTACATTCAAAATGTTGTTTTAATTGATTAAATGCGAGTTAGTGAATGGTGACTATGATTAAGTATGTGCTCGAGGGGAAGGAAGACTAAAAGCTATGTGAGTAATGATCTTTGACATGTCATGTTTCATTGGAAATCCCTGAGGCAAACGTTGGAAGGTTTAGGTTATATTTTGTTTGTTTTGTTTCGTCTTGTTTTCTTTAGTTGTTTTGTTTTGCTCGAGGACTAGTAAAAGCTAAGTGTGGGGGAATTTGATAGGAGCATATTTATGCGACTTAATTGGCTTGTTCTCGTGCATTTATGTTGTGTTTCCTTAGTTATTTTAGTGTTTAAAGTCACCTTTGTGTGTTTTCAGATTATAAAGCCAAAGTGTGCAAGAAGATGCAAATTGGAGTCTTTTGGAGCAAAAGAGGAATGAATGAGTTGAAGACTTGAAGAAATATGAATTCCTAATTGAAGATGGATTCCTACTCACACAAGGATTCCTACTCCAACAAGGATTCCTACTTGAAGTAGGAAAGTTAAGCCAAGGTTTCCCATTTTGGTAACCTTTCCTAATCTTAAAAGTCTTTATTTTCCAGCCACTTTGAAGGCCTCGTATTGACTTTAGGACACAAAACAAAGGCCCTAAACCCCTTAGGGACCTTTGCCGCACCTTTCCCTTTCTCCCCATCCCTTGCCGTGCAAGGGACCCCTTTTCCCTTAAGTTTTAGGACACTTCACCTTTCCTAAAGCATTAAGCCGCACCTCTTAACCTTTCCTTTTCCCTTGCCGTGCAAGGGGGGTCCTTATTTCCTATTTTCTGCACTTAAACACATTCCCCTTTCAAATAAAACCCTAGCCGCATATTTTAGCCAATTTCCTTTTAGTTTCTGATTTGATTTCCTAATTCTAGAAGCCTTTGACTTAATTTTAGTTAACCAAAATAAGTGAGGGTTTTAATTTCTGAAAACCCTTTTAATACTTGGACTTAAGCCGCACCCTAGGAGGATTCTTTCATCATTCCATACATTGCCGCAGCCACCATCATTCTTCCACCTTCAATCCGCAACCTTCCATCCATTCCAGCCACCATTCTACACCTATATACACTTACACACCATTGCAGCCACCTTCCACCTCTCTGCCGCAACCCTTTACCATCCTAAATCCCTTCCTAAACCAAAATCACATCCAAAATCACCCTGAGACCTCTGCGCCGCAGCAAGGAGAAGAAGAAAGAGGAGCTTGAACGTGCAGAAATTCAAAGTGGAATCGTTGGGCGTTTTAGGTGTAATCAATCTTTTGTTCTCTATATTTAATTTCAATTTTGTTTCTCTTTGTGTGAACATGAGAGGCTAAACCCCTAGTTAGCTAGGGGGTGATTCAAAACCATGTATATGCTTGCAATATAAATTGATTACCTTCAGTTGGAATTTCATGAGTTGTGGATTCAATTTGTTTAACTGCTTGATTGATAACTTATTTGTGTATGTTTATTGAGAGTGCACGCTTAGTTTTCATGCATGAATATGATACTAGAATATAAGGGAGTTTCACCTAATAGTTACAAACTTATATTCACAAGTAGTGGAGGTCGCTTATAAACGATCGCGTTAAATGAATTCTTGGCACTAGTTTCATGCTCATCATAGTAACGAATGCCTCGTCAACACTTATAGTTTTCATGTTGCTTAATGATCTTTGATTGTATCTTTATTGTGCTTTTCACGTAAAGGACTTTTGGAGAATGTTTTGAATTGTTGTATACGCTTTCCCATCCAATTCATTAACTTAAGAAGAGCTTGAAGGTTAATTTAAGCGAACCTAATTAACCCGGGGTGTTGAGTTTCATGATTCATCGAAAGACCAACTGAAAATCATCTTGTATGCAAGTGTGACATGTGTGGAGAAGAACCTTCTAGCTAGCATTCCATCCATATTTTCATCAAATTCGTTTTTTACAATCTGTTTTCATTACAATCTGTTTTCTTTGTTTTAATTTCGTCAAAACTAAAACCCCCTTTACTTTAGTGTTTCAATTTAATTAGAAAGTGTCTTAGTTTGTGTTTCTAAGTGTTTTGATTCAAGTTATAACCCAAATTCGTCCAAATTAGTGTTATGTGTTCAAAACTGCCCAGATTGTGTTTTTAAGGCAGTTTTGAGTGTTTTGTTGCTGTTTTGAGTCTTTTGGTTTGTTTTAGTGTTTTAGTGTTTAGTTTTGTATTCTTTGAGTCTAGTTTAGTGTTTTAACCTTTGTTTTACGTTTTTGACTCAGTTTTCAAGTGATTTAGCAATCCCTCATAATCCCCGGTTTAGAACGATCCCTACTTATACATATACTACAATTGTCAAAAGAAAGTTTTAATTTGTGTGCTTATATATTTCGCATCAATCAATATTCAACAAAATAAAAATTACTACTGAATTAATAAAAATACAAAAAGTAAAGAGTTAAGTCGTTTTTTTATTTTTTATTTTTTTTTTAACAAATTATCAAAGAACATATATATTAAAATTATAGCTAAACATTTGTGTGGCTAAATAATAAGTCTGCAATTGGTAAAATCGTAACCGTATAAATCTAAAAACATATTTAGTTAACAAATCAAAACAATTAACAAAACTAATCATACATATATATATATATATTCTCTCATTTATCTTCCCTTCTTAGTTGATTGATTTTTCACCATGGATCCACACTGTAATCACAGTCCTTTGACACAATCTTGGCCTCCGTCGTCAGCTTATCCACCGTTAGATCACACCCAACCTTGACATTGATCGTCCACGTCTTTATGGGCCCCACTTTAATCCTAACGGGCATTCTTATGTCCAATCCCAACGGTACCTTCCCCTGCTTCTGCGCATCCACTAACCCCTGCTGTGCCGTGCTCGTCAGCTCGATCCCTGACCCCTTTAACGCTGTCCGGAACACCGTTACGTTGCTTGACGGCTGGTAAAACGCCGGCAGAGCTCCGTCGCACAATTTGACGTCGGAGTAGAAGAGTTTGACGGAGCTCTTTTTTCCGTAGTAGATCCCGATCTTTTTGTTAGGGTTTTGGGCTCGAACGGTGACCTGGATCTCCGGCGAGATGGCGTAGGACGGGGACGGCGCCGTCAAGTTGAATCCTCTGAACGCGATGCTATCGATTGAGTAGTTGGGGGATTTGGGGCGGACCACGAGGTAGAAGATGCCGGCGGCGGCGGCGGAGAGGAGGATGAGGGCGGCAACGAGGCCGAAGAACCAGCAGAAGCAGCAGCGGCAGGAACTTCGGCGAGGGTTCTGACGAGTGTAATTCTTGTAGCGGGTTGCGTTCTCTGGCGGCGGGACGCGGTAGACTTGGTCCTTGGGGATCTGGATGACGTAGGTGCCCGGCGAAGGGACTGGCTTCTCGGACTCCGGAGGGGAGGGCTTTCGGGGGGATTCCGATGAGGAGGTGTAAGGAAACGGCGCCGTCTCGTTGTGTAGGGGCGAGTCGCGGGGGTGGACTCGGTCGGCCATTGTGGACGGCAGTCAATGGAAACTTGAGGAGGGTGGGCGGGGGAGGGCGGAGCTTTGTCTAAGAAATCAAGCAGACTGCAAACACTGCAGGCCTCTGTGAGAAAGTTAAGAGAGAGAGAGAGAGAGAGAGAGACAGAAGAGAAGAGGGGAGAGAGAAATTATGAGGTTATGACATTTGGGTTTATATATACAGAAAGAGACATTCTGAAGGCCGAAACCGCGTACAAGAAGGGTATATATGGAAATTCAAGTACCAAATTTTTTGTGCATAATTAGCAATCTTTTCTATTATGTTATCATAATGCTAAAAGTTAACCGACTAAAATTTAAATGGAAAATATATGTTTTTTTAATTACAGGGCGATCTGCTACACAAAGGAGAGAGGTTTTTTATTTATTTATTTTATTTTTATTTTAAACAATGATATTATCTACCCTAAATGGGTTGAAAAATGACTAAGACTTACAATGAACTAGTAATAATGTAGTTCAAATTCGCTTTTGGTGATAATCGAACCCAAGACCTCTCACTTACAAATGAAAGATATACATACCACTAAACCGTAATACTAAATAGATTCAAGAATAGAGAGTTGATGAATAGAAATTAAATGAAGAATGCAATTAGTTGAAGAAGGACCATAAGACCAAACCCAACCCTCTGCTAAATACTATTTTTTAGGTTTTATTCCCCCCTCCAAACCCAACCCAACTCATGCTAAATGTGTGGGCTAAAAGTTAAAAACCGAACAAAAATCAAATTTCCCCCAAGATTTAGCCCAGAAAATGGTGTGGGCACCACTAACGGGACCCCATCCACATGGACATGTCTCCTAAGATTTATTGAATCCAACGCTTTAGATCGAATATAATCAAATCTATTAGTAAAAAAAAAGATCTAATGGCCGAAATTTAAATTCACCAACTAAAATAATTAAAAAAAATATTTAATTCAAAATTCATTCAAATTTAGTGGTTTTTCAATATTTATCGGAATTTAAATATTTTTATGTTAAAATATTCATAAATTAAATTATGATAGTGTATATAATTTTTTTAAAATTACTTTAAAATAAAAAATTAGCATAAATTTATTCTTTAATAATTTCAGGTTAAAAAATTTATGTAACATCCCACATCGTCTAGGGGAGTGATCCTTAAATGTATATTCCTATCCCTATCTAGCACGAGGCCTTTTGGGAGCTCACTGGCTTCGGGTTCCATTGGAACTCTGAAGTTAAGCGAGAAGGAGGCTAGAGCAATCCCACGATGGGTGACCCACTGGGAAGTTGCTCGTGAGTTCCCAAAAACAAAACCGTGAGGGAATGGTAAGTCCAAAGCGGACAATATAGTGCTAGGTGGTGGAGCAGGGCCGGGAAGTGATCCGCCCCGGGCTGGGATGTGACAAATTAGGCCAGGTTGGAGTAGAAAAACTATTTATGGGCTAAAACCTAAATTTTCTGGATTAAAAATTTTTGATTTTAGCTCAAAGATTGGAGATGGTCTAAGAAGAGGAGAAAAAATTACAATAAATAAGGTAAAAGGTAAATTTCAATGCAATTCTTGGTAATCGAATTGGATTAGTTTTAGTGTGAGTGAGAGGATGACGAGTAAAAGTGTGCTCTGTCTCAATCTCTTTTGTCTAAAACAAATTAAGTAAAAATTTTGCTTTGTTTAAATAAAAGAAAATCAATAATTTAAAATTCTGATATGAACACATTTACTAGCACACTTTTTAACACACGCAGAGTCACCTGACATTGGTTGTTCTTTTCTATTATTTAATTATTTAATGGGGGAGAGGAAGAAGAAATGGCCAACTGTCGTCCACGCGCAATTGAAAATGGTTTGCGGTGAAATAGTGGGCGCACGTTTGTAAAGAGATATGTTTTGTCCATCCATCCATCCGCGGAAGATCGAATGACAAATGAACTTTGCAGCAGTGAACTAGTTATAACTAAGGGACAATTGTAACCATGATCTCTCAAATTTAATTTAATTGAAATAATAATTATTTAATTAAAAATTTATGATTATTGATATTTTAACTCATCAAAATGTGTTACTATGAACTTTTTCGTCAACTTTGTTAGAATTTTGTCAAATGAGGTGAATTCGCGACACTCCAGTCTCCAGTACCAATGGACGTACTGAAGCTAATCCTTCATCCAGTTTCTGAGCGGACTATTGAGCAGCGTGGTATTGACACATTCGAGGTCTTGGTAAGAGATCGAGAGGTAATATTGCAAAAGTGCTGATTCGCTTGGAAGAATGGAACATGAACATATAGGATAAATAAGCGGGAATGCTCCCCCCTCCCCCGGGGGACGAGTCAGGGAGACGGGGACTGGCAAAAGGGATGGTTTGTAATCATCCCTAAAATTGAGGGACTATCACCATAATTGAGTCAAAGTTGATGGACCACTTCTTCAATTCGGTTAAATTTGAGGGACCATTGCTATAATTATTTCTTGTTTGGCTTTCCATATGTGACTCTTATTCAGCCTCACGTGCATGGCATGTGACTCATTTTGACGCAAGTTTTAATGGAATTGACAAAAATGACCATAACTGCATGTTTTGATGAGTTAAAAGACCAATAGTCATGGATTTTTAGTTAAGAGACCATTACTCCAATTGAATTAAAATTACGGAACTATTGCTATAATTTCCTCTACACTTTTTCCTTAAATTATTTATTGAAAAAGTAAGGTTGTAAACTCTTTAAACTTGTCAATTTCATTCACACTATAAGATTCAAAGCAATTTGGATTAAGTTTTCCATCAATTTAAGTTACGTAACTTGCATGTAATACACTTGAGAGATAATATTGTCATTTTCTCGCCTATGAGCCCTTAATGTTGCATATACGTTGTGAATTTTATTTTATTTTCTTCCTCATTAAAGGCTGCTAGTCTACCACCCAAATTCTATTACAACGCGAGTTCACGTAACTTAAATTGAAGAAAAATTGAATAGAATAGGTTCGAATCTTATAGTAGGGGATGAAATTTAGTTTTTTATGAGTTTAAACGAAAAAAATAGTTTGAGAAGTTAATTTTCATTCGAATATTGATTAAGAATCAAATCAATATTACTCTATTACACTACAAAGAGAAGACATAAAAAGGAAAAAGAATAATAAGAGCATCTCCAAAGGAGATGTCAAAATCCTAATCCTAAGTGAAATGTCACAGTACATATTTGACATAAAAAAATCTTCTAACCCAAGTGTTATTTACTGACTGGATTTGAACACTTTGTAATTAGAAGTCAAATTTGACATCAATGTCGAATTTATTTTTAATTAATTTTAATGGTGGATCCCTTATTCCACTAACATTTCAACCAATAATAATTTTGTTTAAACATTTTTTGTAATAATTACAACTATTAAAGCTCTATTTTAATAAGAAAAATAATATTTGACAATTTGGTTGAAGAATTATAATTTGACATAAGACATAAGACTTCAGATTGTCACGTCAACCATTAATTTTAATCTGACTATTAAAAATGGATTATGTATTATTCTAGATATATAGCAGATGTGTTTGAGTGGCGACGGAGTATGCGATAAGCGAGTCTTAAATTTGTGACTGAGATGTGATTAATGAGTTGAGAATTAATCTATCCCTGAGCTTGTCTCAGATTTGGGCTTTATGCTCCTTATTCAGTGTTTTTCACCTACTTTTATTGCTTTCTATCCTTTAATTTTCCTTCCTCCCTTCTCCTTAGCTGTGATACTCCATCCCCATCCCACCATGTACTCGGATGGGTGGGCTCCGATAAGAAATTGGATATTAGATCCACTACCCTCCCTCACTTCACCTCCCCCAACCGGCATGCTGGATTCCCATTGAGGTCAAGTGTTGGATATTTTACATACCTCCTTAACCTCACTCTTTACCCATATGATACTTTGTTTATATATATTTGCAAAGGTTCGTGAAGAGAACTTGGATTTGATGTCTATTCTCTTGACGGAGTTTGGCTTCCTCCAAAGATGTGACGGTAGCAGGTGCTTGTGATTAGGGTTTTTTTTTTGTTGTTTGGTGTTGCAATCTTCGGGCCTAAGTTTGTGAGGATCTCCCGTTGTATCTTGAGTTGTAGCTCTCATTTTGCTTGGACCTTTTACTTTATTGTTTATCGAATTCCTTTTGAGTCTCGTATTAGCTTTTTTTTTTCATATAATGAAAGTTCTATAGACCAAAAGAAAAAAAAAAAAAAAAAAAAAAAAAAAAAAAAAAAAAAAAAAAAAAAAAAAAGAAAGAAAAGAAGGAGAAAAAGATAGACTTACTGAGTAAGAAGATTAATTAGGCTGACTGAACAATAAGGATTTGGTACATTGAGGAAGAAGATTAATTAGGCTGACTGAGCAAGAAGGATTTGGTACACAATTATAATAATTAGGTTGGCTACAGTTCATTCTTAGATGTCAATTCCTACGTCTTTTTCCTTAAAGCAAACCAAACAAACAAATACGAATTGTCCATATTCATACTATTCACACGGCAAACATATGTGTGTACAAGAGAGAGAGAGAGAGAGGGAGAGAGAGAGAGAGAATGAGATGGGGAATGCGTCAACTTTGTTCTTGTGTGTCTTTATCTGCGTCTTCGTCATGTCCTGATTAAAAGTGTGCAGCCAGCAGGGTTTCGTCTAATATAATTTCTTTACGGAAACTTAGGTTCAGTATATCATGGCAGTTGGCACACGCTTTTCTTCCACACACTCAACACTTGCGTGTTTGCAAACACTACGTTGCATTGCACAAAAAGCACAAAGAGATTACAGATACACACACATAGTTTATTTTTTAGAAAATCTAGTTTAAATAGGTTTCATTGAAGAACAAGTTGACACAAGGTTAGAAAAAGTCTAAAGAGATAAGTAACTCAAAACAACCAAAGAAAAATCCACAACCCGATAAGAAAAAATACAGTTGGCTGGTTAAACAAATTGATTACTAGATCATCACCAGCAAAGATTATTAATTAAGGACCCTCCGGCTTTTATTCAAAGAATTCAACGGGATACCTGTGGATCAATTCAACTACTTTACGGACTATTTAAATACTTTATGATGTTGGTTAATGTATTGACATGATGGTCATATGTTTGCCTATTGTTCACCCACAATGTTTGAAACT